TACTTTATTCAACCAAATATATCCAAAATATTTTTCTTTCAACATATTCTCAATATAAAATTATTAATGAGATATTTTACTCTTTTCTGTCCAACACTAAGTTTTCAAAATTTGGTATGTATTTTATACTTACAGCATATTTCAATTTGGATTAGCCACATTTCAAATATTCAATAGTTATGTATTACCAATGGCTACTATATCAGACTAGGGGCCCAGTGCACGAATTCATGCACCTTGAAAGGAACTGTGGCCGCGAGATTGTTGTGGGCACAGGGGCGGGTCTTAGCCCATCCTCCGTTCCCCCACCTGCCCACTCCCGCCACAGCCCCTGATCCCCTGTCTGCAGGCAGCCCTGTTCCTGCCACCGCCACTCCCACATGCTGATGGTGCCAGCCCCACTCGCACCTGCTGATAGTGAGGAGCAATGGGGGCCGGTGCCAGCAGCGGGTGCTAGTGGTGCCTGCTGCCCCAACTGCCCCTCAGGAGCTGGGGGAGGTGGAAAAGCCCTCAGGGGGGATCGGGGCCAGCAGCTGCTGCTCGCACCCGCTGATGGTACTGAGCGATCGGGACTGGCGCTGGGCACCAGCAGCAGGTGCAAGTGGTGGCTTTGGCGCCGGCTGCGGGTGTGAGCAGGTCCGGGTTTGGCAGTGGGTGTGAGCACCAGGTGGTACTGCAGCACGCGGGAGTAAAGAATGAATTTTCAGTAACCACCAGAGGCTCGTCCTGATGACAGCGACGGGGGGCCCACCTTGGTCTGGCGCCCCTGCTCACCTGCTCCTCCATCCTGCTAGGGCCAACGCCTGCCATGTTCCTTGCTCTGTTGCCTACTGCTGATGCCCATCATGTTCCGCGTGTGTGCCCCCCTGGTGGTCAGCACACGTCATAGCGACTGGTTGTTCAGTTGTTCGGTTGTTCCACCGTTCGGTCTACTTGCATATCAGGGTTTTATATATACACTAGAGGCCCGGTGCACAAAAATTTGTGCACTCGGGGGGGAGGGGGGGGGGGCCCCCAGC